CCATTTCAGAAGGATTGCACACCACACGTGCATTATGCCATACTTATAAACGCAACATTGGAAAGGACACAATATGTCTGTTTTGTTATTTATATCATTTGCCATTTATTGCTCATACAACACAACAGTATATGCCTGATTGTACTACACCAAAACGTGCTGAGAGTTACTAAGCAAATGTGTAGATATTTAAAAAAAAACGCGATTGGCCATTTACAACTATGGCAGAAAAATCTATATCAGTACTTGGTTTGGAAGGCAGGACAGACTGTATTCGAATTTCTACTGCTGAGTCAATTCAAATCACACCACTTAACATCAGACCCAGGGATATGGCTAAACATGTCTAAGTAACTCAACAATGAAGCAAAAGTTAAACTTGTGTAATGAACGTTGCATACAAATCACGCGAAGACACTCTGGAAATGTTGACGATGCGCGTGTATTGTTATATTGGGTGTCAACAGATTTTTCTACATGTCATCAATACTCTCAATCAGGAAACTCTCAATTGAAGGACAACTCATACACTGCAATGTCGATTTTACCTAGACTCCATAAAACTCAATGACATTTGCACTCTTTTCATAACTCCGATTATTATGCCGTGAGCAATAGAATTTTTCGATTCTGGTCACCCAGAAAATAATTAATTTACAACAAACATTTAATAACATCTAACTGTCTAGCTTTAGAGCGTCACACAGCTTTAGAGCGTTTTCGATTCGCATCGGCGTGGAACGCGTATAAATGCTCACAGCGTTGAACGCGCCGTAGCGACCCCGGCTACACGGCGTTTCAGTGGCAGTTTGCTGTACATTTTTGCTTCACATAAAAATACCCCAAACTTCAAAATAGAGTATCTTACTTAATATCCATTCTGGCACGTTCGCTGTCTATTTCGAATGGCTAAATTACCTTCAAAACCTTGAAAACAGCAGCCCCGAAAACAACAGCCACCGGGGCATCACCAGTGCAGCGAACGACAATTTGTTATGCGCTGTATCGTTGCGCAGTAGTTTAAGTGACGCCATCCATGTGATATACCTATGTAATACCCACTTGGCGGGCAATATACTTTTACCCACTTTTATTTATTGTCATGTGACCGAGTCTCAACCAATCACAGCATGCGTAACAGCAGTGAGATGTGATAAATATTGTTATCGACTGGCACAAATTACTCAAAAAATTTTG